TATTTATAGTCTATTCTATTCAGTACTTCTCTACTGTGTGAGGCACAGCGACAGATCAGAGTATTCATATCATTTCCTTAAACGTCCTTCATATATTCCATTGATGTTAGTGCTGTGAAGAATCTCCTCTGTTAGTTTGTGCATCAGCGAAACAATGCAAACTATTATCACCGAATCATTAAAAAAAATAATTAAAAAGAATTTTGTAAAAAACATAAACCTCATTAATTCATGTTTATTCACAACAGAACATAGTATCGAGCGTTGTTCCGTTCTGTCCGAGGGATGATTCTAGCTGCTCTTTGGTGCAGTTCAGTTGGCGATGTTCTGACTTTGTAGAGGGCTTTCTTATAAAGCAACAAACTATTTCCCCAGGCTAAATGATGATCCTCTAAATTTGTGACACGTCATTTCCTCTCCAGATTACGAGTCATCTGCTTTAGGCTACGTGTTTGAGAATTATACCACGGAGTCAGGTACTTCTGATTAGAGACCTTAGTTTTCACCGGAACTACAGTATCCAGAGTCGTACGTAGTGAGGAGGTAAAATTATTAACAAGATGATCGACCTCTGTTGGAGTAGTGTTCAGATAGCTGTTCTGCTCTGTGTTGGTACAGGGCATTGAAGATGATAACAGTGGGTGGATTATATTCTTAAACTTCTCAATTGCCCCTCAGGGATAAATAAAGTCTTCTGAATCTGAATTAGTTACAGCACTTTCAGAAATAGATCTACTGTGATGAAGTCTACTCCCCACTGCTGGGTAAATTATTGTAAATGTAAATTATCAGGAAATAATCACCTGTCCCATACAACACACTCTGATCTGGGCAACTAAGGGAACCAAACTGGAAAAATAAAGAACGGGAAGTTTGAAGCGGCACGGTGGTTAGCACTGTTGCCGCACAGCAAGAAGGTCCTGAGTTCAATTCCACCATCAGGCCGGGGTCTTCCTTTGTGGAGTTTGCATGTTCTCCCCGTGTTTGTGTGGGTTCCCTCCGGGTACTCCGGCTTCCTCCCACCGTCCAAAGACATGCAGCTTGTGGGGATAGGTTAATTGGATAATCCAAATTGTCACTAGGTGTGAATGTGAGTGTGACTGGTTGTCTGTCCCTGTGTGTTGGCCCTGCGACAGACTGGCGACCTGTCCAGGGTGTACCCCGCCTCTCGCCCTATGACAGCTGGGATAGGCTCCAGCGCCCCCCGCGACCCTGAAAAGGATAAGCGGAAGCGAATGGATGGATGGGAAGTTTGAAATGTTTGAAGGTTGAAAGGGAAATGATTTTGTTTGAGTGCTAGAGCTTGAGGATTAACAGGAACACGTTTGCTTTTGACGAGATTAATCTTAAAGCCAGAGCAAAAAAACCCCCAAAAAACCCCCGAACCTCTACAAAAGAGACACGGTTGGTGGGATGCACATAGAAGAAGGTCATGTGCATAAAGAAACAGCTAAACCACTTCCCACAACCTCATTCAACACTGTTCAACACAACAAAGAGATCATCACAATCAAATGCTTTCTCTGGTTTTAGCGAAACAACTAATTCAGACAGGACAGCAGTGTGTGAACACTGAAAACCAGATGAAGCCCTTTAATGAAGCAGTTTTGTTCCTGTGAGAGAAGTCCAGGAAGAACCATCTCAAAATGAGCTGCTAACACTTTAGCCACGATTAAGAAGATACAAGATATATATAGCAGGTACAGGAAGTAGGGTCTTTTTTCACAAGAAGTAGTAGCATATTTGTCTTTGTTCAAGTCAGTTCAATTGTATTTATATAGCATCAAATGACAACAACATTTGTCTCAAGGTGCTTTATGCTGTAAGGTAAAATCCCTACACTGTAACATCTAACTGGTTCCCAGAACAAAGTAAACTAAGGTTGGACAACTTATTCATTGCAAGTGCACAGTACTACAAATAACATGAATTTTCTGAGAGATATATTAATTGTTTACCCACTGAAGAAACTCTTCAAGTTCTACTAAATTAAGAAAACAATTGGTGCCAACTTTTTAAAATTTTGTTTACACACAAATTAAATGTGACTAAATCACATGTTTTTTCTTATATTTCCAGTACAAGACCTACTATAAACCCTGTAAGTATGATTCAAAAAGAATAATTAACAACACTTCCTGAAGTTAGAATCAGCCCAACTTCTATTTGAAATGCAAAGAAGTATATGAGCCAACATACCAGACACTGTTATGCTGAACAACAAACTATTCCCACTATAGTAGATCGTTACAATTAATTATATTAATTGTGTATTTGCTTGTTAAACAATTTTAAACTTTAATAATCTCACAATGAAACTTACTCGGGCGCAGACCAGCTGAATTCAGAAAGTCACGTTTGTTTACAATCACATTGGGTTCAAAGGTGAAAGTGTATGCAATGTATAGGGCTGGGATTTCCAGGGATGGAAGGGGAACGGCTCCAAAACACACTACACACATCCGCTCCTCACTCTCCACTTTCAAGTCCTCTTCGATACCTCACTGCCAGACTCAGGAAACAGGAATGGGTCCAGGAGGACAAGGAAACGCAGTTAGAACAGACTAGTACTTCACACTGGAACCAGAGGCTAACCATGGCTGTACTGACAAGAGTTACTCAACAATCCAACCAAGAAGTCCACTGAACCACCATGTTAAATAGTGGCTCAGGCAATCAGGCAGATCTGTGGCAGGTGGATGATTAAACCAGGTGCGTGGGCCAAGGTTGTGGGTGGCTGTTACTCTTCCTCATTGCTTTCGTTTTAGTCACCCACTGCTGTATTTGGCCCTGGAGTGTCCTCAGGGAGAGAGGAAATTAGGACAGGAGGCTTAATGGAATGCCTCTGTCCTATCACCTCATCCATGAGGGCAAGGGTTACCCTAACCCAGCAGTGGGCTTCCCACTGACCCCCTCTCCTGAGTCTGGATACTTGCAATCCTAAAGGCAGAGGAAATCAAAAATGACAGCAGGCAAGTAGAAACACCACAACAACTCTTAGTAATTGCACATTTATCAACCTGTGTTCTTATGAATTATCTTCTTGATAACACACATACATACTTTTTTTGTTTGTTTTTTAAGTTGTCCCATTTCTTTCTGGCCTGCAAGGGGTTGACTTTCCCCTTCTCCAGAATTTTCCTGTCACACACAACAAATAAGATAAGAGTGGAAACCATGGCAACTATGTTAATCCCTAAATCCTATTTATTATAGAGCCGTTTAGGCTCTATAATAAATAGAGCTTTTCATTCTGATGATCTACAGAATAATTTGGGCTATATTATTTGGGCTAATAATTTGGATATTTGAATAAATGCAGAGCAAACTGTGGTTGTTTGTATTTACTTACACAAAATGAGATAAAAACAAAATAAAACGACCATTTCATCTGGTGCTATTGACATTTTCAGGCCATTTGTATGACCTCAGATGCCGTCTCTCAATCTAGTTCTTTGTTTTGTCTAAAAACAAAAACCAAATCAAAAATTTATGAACTAGTTAATCATTTCAGTTATACTTATATCCACACCTGGGTGACTAATTTGTATGTTTTATATATAAAACTCCAAAAGTAACATAAAGAGAATCAAAACACTCGAGTAAAGCAGGCGACCTGTGAGTAGTAAGCTACCTAACCCTAAGTACAGTATAGGGTAAATGTACTTAGTTACATTCAACCACGGAAAAGCAACATTTCCAGCTTACTACGTTTTTCCGATTTAAGACAAATCAAATAAATTGAGTTGAACAGCTTTTTGAATGAATAGTACTGGTAACTTACTTCAGTCTACTTAATATTTGTTAATTAAGCACAATATTAGATTTTACAGTGTACAATAATATTGAGAAAAACCCAACAATCATATGACCCCCTATGAGCAAGCACTTTGGTGACAGTGGGAAGGAAAAACTCCCTTTTAACAGAAAGAAACCTCCAACAGAACCAGGCTCAGGGAGGGGCGGGGCCATCTGCTGTGACCCAGCAGCGTACGTCTATTGCAGCATAACTAATGCTGGGCAGACACTGTGCGATTTTTTTTCAGTCGCGCGATTCAGCTCCTGCTTTCACACTATACTGCCCGATGCTCTGATGCGACCTGTGTTCTCACATTGTGTGTCCATAAAAATGAAGGTTATAACAGAAATTCATTCTGTCGCTCGCTCTCTCTGTCTTTCACTCACACAGACACACCGCCACCATCAACTTTGCTAAATTGCTAATGAAAAACATTGATCAGGCAGCTGTGATTGAGCAGCAATGTAAATCCAACTATTTTCACGGTTGTTGTGGTCGTGATTATTTTGTGATGCCACATCGAAAAGGCTCGGATGAGCTTTCCAAAGTTCTACAAGTTGTGCCTCCATCGCTTGTGTCCAGATCACACGCTGCACTGCTGTGCTGCGCCGTCTTCTTCGCTGACATTTGTGTTTGCGCGTGCGCAGTGTGACAAACTGCGGTGACACCCTCACGACGGTCGCAGTTTCAAACAGGTTTGAAATCCTCACGACCAAGCGATTGATGATCGGGAGCTTGTCGTGGGGTGTCAATCGCGTCTCGTTACCCCACGTATACTACACGATGCACGATGAAGGCCAAAATCGGGCCGATCGCCAAAACGGTCGCACGACTCAGAAATCGGCTCAAAATGGGCCAAAAATCGCACAGTGTGATGCTGGGCTCACACTGTGCGATTTTTGGCGACAGAATTTCTGTTATAACCTTCATTTTATGTAGGCACAGTGTGAGCACTCAGGTCGCATCAGAGCATCGGGCCGTATAGTGTGAGACTCTGCATCGTGACCTATGAACTTCTAACCCCTGCGAGTCAACCGTACAGTTTGAGCAGGAGCTGAATCGCGCGACTGAAAAAAAATCGCACAGTGTCTGCCCAGTATAAGCCCAGCATTAGGGAGAATTCGGGGTCACCTGGTCCAGCCCTAACTATATGCTTTAGCAAAAAGGAAAGTTTGAAGCCTAATCTTAAAAGCAGAGATAGTCTGTCTCCTGATTCCAAACTGGAAGCTGGCTCCACAGAAGAGGGGCCTGGAGACGGGTTAATGTAGGAGGCAGGGAACCATGTTCCAGAGAGGAGGCAGTTATTATTAAATATTTAAAAAAATAAAATAATATAAACTCAATAGGAAACCCATCAGGGCCTGAAGCCTCATGACTTTGCATGGATTTAATTCAAAGGAAAATGTGCTCTAGACTGAGAGGTGCATCAAGCCTATGAAGGAATATGAAGATTTTGAAGGAAAGTCATTCTGACAATGATTTAGACTGATAAAGAGAAGAGTAAACATTTCTACAAATATTTTAATAGCTACTGGTTTAAAAACCAGATTGCCAGAGGAATCAATACTTTGAAGGTTTCAGTTGGTGTGCTAAAAGCCTGCTTGGTTTCTCACCATAATCACAATAATAAACAGCACAGGAAGGCGATATCAGACCATCGAGCAGCTCTGACTGAAGGTTTTATCGTTGTTTCATTGACCTCTCTGATGGCTTTTTGACATTTCTTGAATCAACATCGTGAATTTGAGTTTAAAATTAACTGAGTTTGTTTTTGTGTCACGATGAACCGTGAAAGAAGGATTCCCACCTAGATATACTTTGACAGATTCCCGTGATACTGAATGAGAAACTGAACTGCTACGGATTAAAAAAAAAAATCAATTGGATTAAAGCAGTGAAGGGATTAAATTGACGATCCGAAAGATCAAGTGGATTGAATCTCCGTGGTAACGAGTTTAATTATCCCACGGGATATTATTGATCAATCTGTGATTTGCTGTGAATGTTTAATTTAAACATCTGACTGATTGCAGGGTGCTTGCGGAAATCGACCGCAATCATTAAAAACTGATCAATACTGCCCAGAGTACTGCTCGGTGATCTTTCGGTTATGGGTCAGCTGTGCAGAATATTGATCAGTGATCAGGGCTGTTCCGGATGTCCTGTGATGGCAGCTCTCTCTCTCTCTCTCTCTTTCTCACACACGCACACCGAGCCGCCTGCACGCGCCTCTCTGATCGCTCTCGTTGGTTTGTATCAGCTGATCGGAGCGGGTTCGGCTCTGGGTCCGGCTCCGGGTCGGGATCCCTGTACGGTTCCGATCTAATCCGGCTTCGTCTGGTTTGGGCTCTTTGTTCCGGAACTTTTCGGACTCTTCGGTGAGCTGTTAGCCGTTAGCCTCTCCTAGCTGCAGCGGATCGATTCTTTCCTCGGAACCTTCCACAGCACAGTTCCTGTTTCAACCCGAACCGTTCCCCGGCTGCCCGGCCCGGACTCTCGCTCTGCTCCGGGCCGACAGGCGGCTCGGTTCGGTTAGTGGAGCGGCTGAGCTAACAAGCTAACAGTTAGCCTGAGCTAGCTGCTAGTATGCCCGCGATGCTGGAGAGGAACCCAGAGGCTTCGGGCAAGAGGAGAGGCCGAGCCCCGGGAGGAGGGCCCGTCGGCGGAAAGAGTCTGTCCGGTAATGGACCCAGTACCAACAGCTGCTGGGAAGAAGGAAGTTCAGGCTCGAGCAGCGACGACGAGCATGGTGGGTAGCCTCGATCATCGCCGCCGCTGCTGAGACTAATCTGAGTACTGTACTGAGTACTGTGTGTGTGTGTGTGCGCGCAGGTGGAGGAGGGATGCGGGTCGGACCGCAGTACCAGGCCGTGGTTCCCGACTTTGATCCGGGTAAGATTGCGGCTGGCTCGGGAGCCTCGCAGCGGAGTAGTAGCCTCGAACAATACCAGCTGTAAAGTTCGCGGCGCTGGTTCCGGTCCCCGCGTGCCGGTTCCACCTCCACATGTGTGTCCGGCTCTGGTTCTGGGTTCGTTTGTGTTTCAGGAGCTTTTGTTTCCTTAGCAGAAGCAGCTCGATGCTCCTCCTCACAGTCAGAACATTCAACTTTAGTCACAAACTTCACACACCGACAATATTCAATAATCAGATAACAGTCATCAATAATCGCTGCAGAATCTGACCAGATTCCTGAAAACTGGTCAGAGTAACAGCTCTGAGTTAAACTTCATGTTGATCCTCACACTGATGCTGAGTCTGAACCCTTCTTCACACAACCACCTGAAAAGTCGTACAGGTGAGCAGCTCTGCCTGCACAGGTGTGGCTGGTGGCTTTGAAGGAGCTGCTCCATTTTCAAAGTTAGTTTATTGATAAACTTCTGATCAGCTCCAGCGTTCTACCAGCACCGTTACAGCATGAATCCCTCATCGAGTTATTGAATGTGATGTAAGAACCATTCTAATTAATTAATAATCTCATTAACACGTGTGTGTGATTCCAGATGTAGCCCGGGCGGCTCATCTCCGGGAGAACCAGGGGATGTTGGTTTGGATCCCCAACAGCTGCCTGAATCAAACACAGTGTAAGAAATGGCTCATTGACCTGAGAACATGGTGCACTGATGAGAGTCTGATGGCGTTTTGTGGGTGTTGTTTTTTTTTGTTTTTTTTTCTCTGTTGCAGTGGACGAGTACATCGCCATCGCCAAAGAGAAGCATGGCTACAACATGGAGCAGGTAATTGTTCACAACTTGGTCACTTTTTTTATTTTAATTCCTCTTGTGCCGCCATATTTAGACGTTGGTTCACGCTGCCATCCTCAGTCAGTAACAGGTGTACTTATGAACACAGTGTTATTTTGGAGGTTCAGTTGCTGCTAATCATGTGGTGCTGCCCCTTTCTCTCTCCTCTTTGGCTTCCTGCTCCTTCTCCACGTTGGACTGCAGTTGGTGAGGGGCTTGGAGAAAAAAACGTATAAATTACATCTTTAACAGGGCGCCTGCTTTAGCAGCGAACATGTGACTATCTGAGCATGTGCACAAACCGATGTCACACTCAGTGACCCGAGTGTCGGATCTGCTTTTCTTTGTTAATTCAAAGTGCTCTGCAGAACTTTGCTTCACTTTCAGGATGGTAAAATAAAGTTCAAGTTCTCTCAGGAATATCAGACAGGTGGACCTGAAGTTCCTGTGTTTTTAAACTCACTGCCTTCACGCCACCATCACATGTTCAGCTGTTAGAGGGCCTGAACACACAGGAAGTGCTCAGCGTTTGCAGGGACCGTATAGATCATCACACCAAATGTCCTTCAGTATTTACAATGTCCACATTTTACCTGTCTCACCTGTCACAGGCGCTGGGCATGCTCTTCTGGCACAAACACAACATCGAGAAGTCTCTAGCCGACCTGCCAAACTTCACTCCGTTCCCCGATGAGTGGACAGTGGAGGACCGCGTTTTGTTCGAGCAGGCCTTCAGCTTCCACGGGAAGAGCTTCCACCGCATTCAGCAGATGGTACCAGTGCTCCCAGTCCTAGTCTCTCTCTGCTCCCAGTGCTCCCAGTCATTTTCCCCCCTTTGACCAGTGCTCCCAGTCGTAGTCTCCCTCTGTGACCAGTGCTCGCAGTCGTAGTCTCCCTCTGTGACCAGTGCTCGCAGTCGTAGTCTCCCTCTGTGACCAGTGCTCGCAGTCGTAGTCTTCCTCTGTGACCAGTGCTCCCAGTTTGACCAGTAGCTCCTTGTTGTGTCTGTCTGTAGTTACCTGATAAGTCGATGCCCAGCCTGGTTCGGTTTTATTACTCTTGGAAGAAGAGTCGCAGTAAAACCAGCCTGATGGACCGCCAGACTCGGAAACACAAACGAGAGCGAGACGACAGGTGAGCAGATACCTGCGCAGGTGTGGGTGCTACCCGATTGGCCGATGAGTGTAAATATAAATGTCTGTTTCAGTGACGATGAAGTCGAGGACGGTAATGGAAATCCTCCGAGTGACTCTGAGTTGGACGTAAATAAAGAAGACAAGAAGGAGGTACAAAGTTCAGTGTTTACTTGTTTGTTTGTTTGTTTACCTGTTTGTTGCTGTTGTTTACCCGTGTGACTCTTTTCAGGTGAGCTCAGGTTCAGAGAGGTCAGAGGTGAAACCAGTTTCTGGTCTGAAGGTAAGAACACCTTAGCAACCCTCAGACCGTAGCCTGTATGTTCGTACCTGTCTGTTAGATGGGTGACGGCGGCTGCCCCTCTCTCTGTTCACCTGCAGACAGGTGGGAAGGCGTCCCAGCGGATGAAGAAGCGCCCCCCCAGAGGGATGTTTCTGAACCATCAGGACGTTGTTTCTCTGTCGTCCTCAACGCCTCAGGGACTCATCAGACAGCTCGACTCGCAGCTCGTCTCCATCAAGAGACAGGTGAGTCCATGGTCACAGAAACGCTAGAACGGGGAGGTGCAACCATCGTCAGAAATCTACAGAGGGACTGAAAATAGTCAGAGGGCTGGTCAGGTAACGGCGTTTATCGCCAATACAAACAAACCTAACCTAAACAAAAGATCACCTGTACGAGCTGCAACAGGTAAACGGCTTCACGCCTGATCATCTGCACAGCGTGGATACCTGCACTCACCTTGATCACATTCCTGTTTCTGAGCCTCAGTCTCTGTTTCAGATTCAGACCATCAAACAGACCAACAGCGTGCTGAAGGAGAAACTCAGCTCGGGGCTGGACGAGTTCAGGCTGCCCGAGGTAACCGCGGCAACGCGATAACACAGCAACATGCCAGCGCAATACAGCAACATGCCAGCGCAATACAGCAACATGCCAGCGCAATACAGCAACATGCCAGCGCAATACAGCAACGCAGTACAGTAACACATAACCGCAATATAGAAATACACAAATGCAGTTCAAAAACACACAAATGCAGTACAGCACAGTGAGTGTATCCTCACTGATTTTTCTCTGTGATTTCGACGATTGATTCAGATCACTTTATTCAAACTAATAAAGTCACTGAGCATCGAAATCACAGAGAAAAGTCAGTGGGGATACACTCACAGCAACTGAAAGAGCGCGCTCTTTTCAGCTAACGTTTCTTTATGTTTCAGGTGAACCAGAAGTTCAATAACCGTTGGACCACAGAGGAGCAGCTGCTCGCCGTCCAAGGTAACACCTGAAACAGGTCACCTGACAGATGTTCTCATCTTTTTAAAGCATCTGTTTATCAGCGTCAGGGTTGATTGATCAGACATGTAAAATCATAACTGGATAACCTATCGAGGTGCGGACATGTGAACTCGAGCCTTCTATGAAGGCTGCTGTCAGACTTCTCAGTCAGTGATTGGTCAATGACTGTCTCCCTCCCGTCCAATCCTACACAGCCATCAGGAAGTATGGGCGGGACTTCCAAGCCATCTCAGATGTGATTGGTAACAAGTCGGTGGTGCAGGTGAAGAACTTCCTAGTAAACTACAGACGCAGGTTTAACCTGGACGAGGTGCTGCAGGAGTGGGAGGCGGAGCACGGCATGGAGGTGGGGGCAGGAGCGAGCGAGGACGACAGGATGGAGGAGAAGATGGAGGTGTGTCCCACTGAGGAGGATGAGGTCACCGCCAAGCAGACCAAGGAGGTGAGGACACAAATCCCAGCATGCTTGGCAGCACACATACCTGTCTGGGTCATGTGACCTCCGTTTTTTACGGTTCCCGTGTCAGCTCATGCTACTCATGTGACTGATTTTGGTCTCAGTGGATGTGATGATTTTAGAGGCATTAAGGAAGTTGTACTAATGACACTGCATGACTCAAATTACATACACCTGGCCACATCTGCACTCACCTGCTCAGGTGGGACAGTCTCACTGTGTTTTTCTTCTCCTACAGGATTCGTCCTCTCCACTGAATGCCAACAAGCCTTTGGCCTCCTGAGACCTTCTGGCCCTTCCTCTTTAGATTCAGGGCTCTGCCCCTCCAGTTTCAGGCCCCGCCCCACAGGCTTTATAATGTCTTTTTTTTTTATTGTATAATGTGTTTCTCTTTAATTTTCTTCGTTTTTAGATCAGGTGTGCGGTTTGTTTTATTAACCTGTCATTTACTGCTCGCTCTGGACCAATCAGACCCGTCAGTCCAAATGGGCGGAGGTTTTGTTCCTTATTTTCTGCTTTTCATGCTTTTTTTGGGTTGTTTTTTTGCTTTTATTACTTCCTGTTTGGTGTGTTGGGGATAGGGTGTCTGAAGACTGAAGCAGCCATGTTGGATGACCTTGTTCAGGAAGGAGGTGCGTCCTAACCTGATGGCATCTTTTTGGTTTTTTTTTTTGGTTTTTTTTTCTATTTTAGGACTTTTTAGAAGAAAGACAATAAAACCAAAGTTGATCAGTAAAGTAATTTGTATGTTTTCTTCTTTGAGACCAAACTGAGTCCTCAGGTGATTTAAGAGAAGTGGCGCCCCCTGCTGTCTGTGTTTGTGTGCTACAGAGACAGACTGACCAGCTGTGTCTACTGATGGAAAATGAGCCAAATAGAAACGAGTCACCATAATAAGTCACAGCAGTCTCCTCAGACAGTGGAAACACTGAGGTTTCTTTTCATTAGTATTGTAACAGCCGATCATAAAACTTCTCAGGACGCAGAGTTAATTTTCAGTTTTCTAAAATAATCTCAGGATTTAAATCGGCGTGTGTGCCTGAGAGTGCCAAAAAGTGATTGTCTGCCAAAAACTGATTTCCGGTATTTGCCAAAAACTGATTGCTCGTATTTAAACTGCTATAAGTAACTTGTTGGGCTATAATATGTGAAACATATGTCAAATGCATCCCTTATGGATGACATAAAGTCATCTTGAGCCACAAACAACATTCGTGTAACAAGGTAGAAGCCGCAATCAGTTTTTGGCAGTGACTTTTATATAACCTTTATTTATGCAGTTAAAAAAATCTCATTAACATTAAAAATGTCTTTTGTAAGAGTAAGTTGGCCAAGAGGACAGCAGAAATGGCAGCAAATATTACAATAGTTCTGTAAAAATATTTTAAGTGGGGATAAAGGACCGGATTGGTTATAATGTAAGTACAATAACACAGAGTTGTAAAGATACTTGAAAAATTGATCATTTTTTAATTCTCTATATAACCCCTTTGTAAACTCTGTTCACCGAAGTCTATTTACGAACATATGTAAAGATATTACACATAAAAAAAATACACAGAAACATTGGAAATCAGTTTTTGGCAGACAATCACTTTTTCGCACAACACCGGTCTGATCTGCAGCTCAGTGGGGCAGACACAAACTCTATTTATCTGTAAAATAAATCAGAAACTACACTTTGATAATTTTCCTTTTCTTGGTTCAGGCTGCTGCTCTTAAAGCTCACATGGAAATTAAAATAAACACTGCAGCTTTTGTACTGCTACGTGCACGTTAGCATATGCTACTTCCGGTGCGGAAACTCCTGTGGGGAGCTTTGTTTCCGGTGTCCTATTCGCGCCCTGTTTGCTGTCTAAAACAAGTTAAGCAAATGAATGAATCAAGCGGCGATTTACATTTCTATAGATGTCTCGGGCATTTACCCAATATATCTGTAAATGATGTTCATCGACTTGTCGATGTTTTTTCCCCCGCGCCTCAGAGAAAAAGAGAAAATGGATTCAAATGTTATATTTCTCAGCTGTCCATCGTTTATCGCGGGTGTTATATTCTAAAAATAACCAGCGATAGGTGAAATCAAGTAGCCAATTTGAGTTTTTGACGGTGCAAAATGTTTGGTGGACATCGTGGACATACAGTACTGCACTTCAGAGTCACACTGCTAGCGATCGATGCAGCGATTCTGTACTGTACAGGAGAGACGTCACGGAGGAGATCGTCTGCAGCGATCAGGACGCAGGACACAATGTGACTTAAAAAAAAGCATGCGAACTTGCACTAAAAAAATCTGTGAAACAGCTAGGTGAAAGGTGGACCGCTGTAATTTTGAAAGTAAGTCACAACATACCCTTCGTAAATACTAATGTATAGAAACCGTTACCAGCAATCATTCATTTTTTGTGTGGCTTTTTTCACGGTTTGTTAACATGCTGTGTAGGTGTGTACTTGACTAGCTGATCTCGACATAACAGGGAAACATCTGGTTTGACTATTCTTCACCTGTAGTTTGACTGCTGAACATTTGCCTGTTTAAAGCATAAGACCAGTCATTATACAGAAATGTGCTTCTGAATGTGGACGATGTGTCTTCTGCTGATGCAGTTCTGCTTGTGTTGAGTGATGTAAACAACTGATTGATCTAAACTCTTTAAACATCAAAATTGATCATTAGATTTTTTTATGACACAACAGTGGTGAGTGTTCCCACCTTCTGCTCTTTGTAACTGAACGCGATCTTTCCGTTTTCGAGTTTTGGACATGATTTTGGAGTATATCTTCGCAGTAGCGATTGACCGCAAAGTAAAGCTACCGGAAATGCACAACCCCACATCCGGTCTCAAACCAGGAAGTTAGCATTGTCTCGTGCA